CGCATACACATAAAATAATAAAAAATTTTTAAAAGATCCTTCAGATGTGGTCATCTAGAGGCCATAGGCATGAGGCAGCGGTGACAGCACAAGGCTGGCATCCTCAGCTGGGTTCTTGTTCCTCTTCCTGGGTTTGAGGGTCTTTCTGGACAACCTTAGATGCATGCAGATTCTTTTTTTTTTAATGTATGAGTGTATTGCCTGCATGTATGTGAATGTACCTGTGCCCTGCAATGCTGCGGATGTGTGAAGGTTCTTAATCTCTGTCACCACCTTCACTGACATGGCTGAGCTTTTCTGTTGAGAGCCATTCCAACTGTGGGTATTGATAACTCTGGCACAGCACCTTCAAGTGTATAGTTGTGATGTGCTGCTGTCTATTCAGTCACTTGAGAGCTGCTGTGGAGGGAGGGAGCATCTGAAGGAGCCTGTGTCCTAGGCCTGGAGTGTGGCCTGAGGCCCTGTCCCACTTCAGGGAAGCAAACTGCTGCTTCACCTCAGCTGATGTTTGCAAAATGGAAAAGATGTACATAAGGCAACCATTGAATCATTTCAGTAATTTTTAAAATGTTTTTTCCTAAAAGATTTCAATTAATACAGGCAATGTGGAAAACGATTCTCAATCTCGTGCCTTCCCTCAGGCCTGTTCTTGTTCATTTTGAAGACTGTCTGTGCCCCTACAATTGAGAAGTCACTGAAAGACCAGATTGTTTTTAGATTAAATACAGAATGTAAGCCTGGGCTTGTAACTTGGTGGTGGAGCCCCTGTCTCTCTGACAGATTTTTACCCCTGATAACCATTGAGTAAATAGATTTTTTATGCAGGGGGGGTGGGGTGGGGGATTTTCCTCAACAGTTAAATCGGTTAATACTAAAATTAGCAGAAGTACTTTTTTATGTATGAATGTATTGCCGGCATATGTGTAAGTACACCCATGTCGTGCAGTGCCCTCGGAGGTCAAAAGAGGGCATTGGATCCCCTAAAACTGGAGTTTCAGACGGTTGTTAGCTGCCATGTTGGGTGCTAGGAATCGAACCCAGGTCCTCTGTGAGAGCAGCCAGTGCTCTTAACCACTAGGCCATCTCTCCAGCCCCCTTTTTTACGTTTTGTTTCATTGTGTAGCCTGAGCTGTCCTCAATATCTCCTGATTTTTAGGATTACAGGCATGTACCACTATACTTAGGAGCCCATGTTTTGTTTTGTTTTGTTGGGTTTTTCTTTAGTTGATTGTGACATGTGATGTGGCTGCCACCAACATACATGTATATCACCGGAGCATTACTTTAAATAGGAGCATTAATTTAAAAAATAATGTCCAAGGCCAGGTGAGGTGGCACACACGTTTAGTCCCAGTACTCAGGAGGTAGAGACAGGCGGATCTCATGAGTTCAAGGCCAGCCTGGTCTACATAGTGAGTTCCAGGACAGCTGGGGCTACAGGGAGACCCTGTCTCGAAAAAAAAAAAAAAAAAAAAAAAAAAAAAGTACCAAAGCTGGGTATGGTGGCACATGGCTTTAATCCCAGCACTTGGCAGATCTCTGAGATCAAGGCCAGCCTGGTCCATATGGCAATTTCCAGACCAACTGGGGCTACATGGAGACCCTGTCTAAAAAAAACAAAACAAAATTGAAATGAAATGTCCAGAATTAGTGTGCCTCACTGTCTCATCCAAAGTAACCAGTTTGTCCCAGGCAACCAGGGAGCTTGACAAACTGGAGCCCATCCACTGGAAAATGTCTTACAAGGTCACAGGTCACTAAGGGGTGGGAAAAAGAACTGAGCATAGTTAGTAGAGGGAAGAAAATGACTTGAATTTGAAACTCTGTGGTGTGACTAAGTAATTAGACTTTTTTTTTTTTTTTTTTGGTCTTTTTGAGACAGGGTCTCCCTGTAGCCACAGCTGTCCTGGAAGTCATTATGTAGACCAGGCTGGCCTTGAACTCACAGAGATCCGCCTGCCTCTGCCTCCCAAGTGCTGGGATTAAAGGCGTGCACCACCACGCCTGGCCTGTAATTAGACTTTTAAGAGCTAAAATCTGAGCCTTGTGGTAGGTTGCAAAGCACATAAGCTTGTAAAGGGAGCCATCACTGTGAACTTGCTCCGTAGTGCTCTGTGGTCCCTCACTGGAAGTAATTGGTCAGAGAAGCTGTCTTACAAGCAGGGTTCATTGTTTATTGTAAGTTCAAAAAAGATCTTCAAGTTTTTATGTGATGTGCTGTATTTAGATGAGTATCGTTTTTACCTTTCATTACTGTCTATTCAATTTTAAAAACTGCAAAGGAAGCTGGGCATGGTGGTGCATGCCTTCAATCCCAACACGCAGGAAGCAGAGGTCCAAGGCCAGCTGGGGCTATGGAGAGCAAAAAGAAAACTAAAGGAATTGAGTAATTGACATCGTTTAAAAAATGTGGAAAGAAAGGAGGCTAGAGAGGTGGCTCAGCGGTTAAGAGCACTTGCTTTTCCAGAGGATCTGAATTTGATTCCCAGCACCCATGCAAATTCTAGGGGATCTAATGCCCCCTCTGGCCTCTGGGTACACCTACACACACCCACAAATTCTTAAAACATGAAGAAAATGAGTTTGTGTGTAGGGCACTGTATATAGTAATTTAGTGAATTAATTGGGTACCGTTTGTTAATTCTGGCCTATAATATGGATTATGTGGTAAAGTCAAGTGAAGTTAGTAATTACAAGTAGAAGAAAACAAACCAGTGATATTTCTTGTTTATGACCACGGTGCATGTGTGACATCTTTAGGGAGATGGTGTGTCTTCCCACGTGCAGGTCCTAGGAATTGAACTCCATCAGGTTTTGAGGCAATGGCTTTAATGCACTGAACTGGCTCACTTGGCCCTAAACTTCATTTTCTCCTGTCTTAGTGCATGATTTTATCTGCTGGACCTGAACCTTCTGCCCCTGGATAGTCAGAATTAACTACTCTGGTGATTGGAATTGGGAGGAAAGGGAAAGAAGAGACATTACGGCTCTCCTTTGTGGAGGATTTAAACATAGAGCTTAGTGGTACCTTTAAAAATAATAATGAAGCTAGGCGTGGTGGCGCACACCTTTAATCCCAGCGCTCAGGAGGCAAAGGCAGGTGGATCTCTGTGAGTTCCAGGACAGCTGGGGCTGGGCTATAGGGGAGACCCTGTCTCAAAAAGACCAAAAAAAGAAATAATAACGAGGCTGCTGGGACGTGGTGGTGCACACTTTTAATCCCAGTACTTGGGAGACAGAGGCAGGCAAATCTCTTTGAGATTGAGGTCAGCCTGTACTACATAGTGAGTTCCAGGCCAGTTGTGGCTACAAGGAGACCTTGTCTCAAAAGACCAAAAAAAAAAATGGCCATGCATGCTCACTGCTTCAGATGGGGAGCCTAGAAGAGTCAGGAAAGATGGAGGCTAAAGAGTTTTACATTGTATTATGACTGTACTTTTTTAATCCCCTCCACCCCAGCTATCCCCCTTATCCTCCTCCCACTCCCATCCCACCCCATTCCCACAAAACAACTCCTCGTGTGCCTGTCACTGCATTGAGTTGGGGTTTTTTGCATGGGCACAGGTAGGAATTATTTACTTGGGCAAGAGCAAACTTTCCAGCAGCATGCCTTTCTGGGACTAGTAAGAGTGCGGGTGCAGCACACGTGGAGATTGGATGACAACCCTTAGGGAGTGGTTCGCTTCTTCCACTTTCGGTTCCAGGGATCAAATTTGGATCCTCAGGCTTGCACAGCAAGTGTTTTTACTTGCTGAACCATCTCACTGGCCCTCTGTGGCCATACTTTGACTCAGTGGTTTTGTTTTGTTTTTGAGACGGGTCTCTTATGGCCGCCAACTTGATAATTAGCTTAGGCTGGCCTTGATCTCCTGATCCTCCTGTCTTCAGAGTGCTTGGATTAATGGGCATGCATCACCACTTGTGGTCAACTAAATGAGCAGCTCCTAAATGTTACAGATCTGTTTTCCAGGGGGAGGAAACACGTTATCACAGGCAGCAGTGAAGTAACTGATACTTTGTGTTCATGAGATTTTTGGGGGGTGGGGGGAGGTCTCCTTTTAGCCCCAGCTGTCCTGGAACTCACTATGTAGACCAAGCTGGCCTTGAA